TCAGTCTGCCGATCTTTGATTTGTGCTCGGTTGGACGATCTTGGCATTACGACTGAAAGTCTTCAACATTTAGGTGAGGCCAAGCAAACTTGGTGTCACGGCTACAACACTTCAATTTGTGCTCATTCAGGCGATATTGGGGCCACGACTAGCAATCTTCAGTTTTTTGGCGAGGTCAAGCAATCTTGGTGCAACGGTCTGTCGCTCTTCAATTTGTGCTCAGTCTAGCGAACTTAGCCACGACTGACAATCTTCAGCATTTAAACGAGGTCGAGCGATCTTGACACAATGGTCTACCACTCTTCAACTGATGGCCAGTTAGGCGATATTGGAGCCATGATTGATACTCTTCAGCATTTAAGAGAGGTCGGGTGATCATAAAGCCACAATTTGCCGCTCTTTGATTTGTGCTTAGCAAGGCAATTTTGGAGCCACGACTAGTAATTTTTGACAATTAGGAGAGGATGGGCTTTCCTACTGCCATGGTATGTCGTTCTTTAATTTCTCAAGTCTCTGGTCAGACATACTTTTGATTTCCTTTTTCTTCCAATTTCCAAAGCGTTCTTCTAAGTTGAAAGTTTTGAATCTTCGGTTAATATGGTGCTCGATAATTTCATGCATGTTTTTAGTAGAAGAGAGTTTCATTATGCAAAACAAAGTGAGAAAATATATACATTATTATTTTTATTCATGATTGGCCTTATGAAATATATAGTGGAATTCACGAAAAAAATTACTTGAGATCATCCCCACTCCAAGTCTGGGGGACCTCATTCCCCATATGGTTCATTAGCTTTTATGCCTAGGGTGTCGTCCGATGGTCTATTATGTAGGGCCCATTCCACTTCTGGTCCAGCTTTCTTACTGCTTGTCCTCACATTGTGGGATCAACCTTCTTTGGCACCTCTGGGAGAGAAGACCCTTTCTCGAGCATGCCAGGTATAATATATGGTGGCTCTCCTCTTAACCTCTTTCAGTCGCAGGGCCTATTGTGATCAATCTTATCCTGGAACGATGAGCATCATTCCTTAGTTGTTTGCTTCTAGCAATTCCATGAGATTTTCTTCGTTGAACGACGCAACTGTGAGGACTCTGTTTCTGTGATGGTTGTACTTGACCAGAAGCATGACTTCCTTTTCAAGAGATAGTATGAATAGAGTTTGGTCGGTTGTAGTTGACAGGTTGTGCGGATAGCCCACAACACAGACGAAGGCACCTCGGTCCAATTGCCTTTTGCACCCTCCACCTTTTTTCTCGATGAGTTCAGGATGATATTATTGGCTGCCTTAGCCTGGCCATTGATTCACGAGTGACGAGCCAACATGAATTAGAGACATATTCCTTAGCTTTGGCAAAAGTTCCAAATTTTATTATCTGTGAACTGTGTCCTATTATCTGTGATGATAATAAGTTGTAGGTTGTAGCGTCAAATCAAGTTGGCTCAGATGACGTCCACATTGATCCAAGCGAGGGATTTTCCCTCAATCCATTTTGAAAAGTAATCCACTGTGACTAGGAGAAAACGTTGATGTCCTTTGGAAGGTGGGAATAGTCCTAAAATGTCCAGACCCCAAACATTAAATGGTCAAGGTCTAGTGATCGATTGCAACTTATAAGCCAAATAATGCTGTAACGGACCATATTTCTGGCAATATTCATACCTCTTGAATAAGGCTTCAACGTCCTTCCGTAACATTGACTAAAAATATCAATGTCACTGAATTCCAAGTGTCAATTTCTTTCCTCTGAAATGGTTCCCGCATTTTCTAGAGTGAAACTCACAGAGGATGTCGTCTATCACATTTTTCCTTACGCACTTCAGGTACACTGACATTTGATGATTTTCTGAAGAGCACCCCCCTCCCAAAATCAGCTAATACTGCATGACTTTGCACTTGAATCTTCTAGGATTTGTGACTTCTTTCGAGACATTCCTTATTTCTAAGTACTTGATGTATGGGTCCATCTAACTTTTTACCTGCTCACCCTCCATTGTCATAGCCTCGGGCTCCTCGATGACTGGTCAACGGAGTATTTATGGCTCTTCATTTTCCAAGTGGACAAATCATGATAGCAATTCAAACACATGATTTTCTTCTCTATCGATGTGTTCGATCAGGAACTGTGTAAATTTTTGAAACTCCACCTTAGCTTTGCTAAGGTATTTCACTATCAATTTGTCTCTGGCCTCAAATTCCCCATTTATTTGGTTTACCACAAGTTGTGAGTTTGACTTCACAATGAGGATCCAAGCACTCATTTAGTAGGTCAGTGCAACCCAAAAATCAAAGCTTTTTATTCGGCCTAGTTATTTGTCACCTTAATTTCTATTGGAATGGTACACGTGTTCTCCTATGGGGTTCTCAGAGTGAGCCCAAGCACCGCTCAGGTCCTGTTTGAGGCATAATCAATGTATATGATCCACTATGTCACTCACTTTAACTTTCTTCAGCTAGATTCCCTTGCTCCGAGAAGTTTGCCTAAAAATTTGCAATCGCCCGAGCTTTTATGTTTGTCTGAGGAACATAAGTGATATCAAATTCACTTAGTTCTACTCCTAGAGAACACGGCTGGTGTAGTAGATCGGGAATTGCTTTTCCGACTCATCCCGAGCCAACCCACAATTGATTTCCTTAGCTCTCAGACCCAAGTATAGAAAGAGCTCTTCGTTTGGCTTTAAGCTTTGCATGAGTAGTGGTGAAACTAAACCATCCTTAAGGCTCTGGAAAGCATTCTGACACTCATCTGTCCACTTAAAACTTTCAGCTTAGAGCTGAGACCCTACCGATTAATTTTTTATCACCTTGGATATTTCGTGGGGTTGGTATGTCAATCAGTGCTTGGATGTTGTCGGGTTTCACTTTTATGTTCTCAGGGGTTAGAAGGAAACCTATGAACTTGCCGGTTGTGGGGGGTTCAACTTCATATTTAATTTTCTTATAGCTTGGAAAGTTTTTTTTAGGTCTTTTATGTGTTGTTCTGTTGTTTGACTTTTCATGAGGACGTCATTGATGTATAACTCAATAGTTTTACTTTCTGATTCTTAAGAATTACATCCATTGAATTATGGTATATGACCCCAACATTCTTATGCTTGAAGAGCATTACTTCATAACATAACACTCCCTCGACAGTAAAGAATGTGCTTTTTTCCACTTCCGCTAGGTGCATCATGATCTGGTGATATCCAGAGAAAGCATCCATAAAGCACATCAAAGATGAGCCTACGTTTGCATGCACCAAGGCGTCAATCCTCAAAAGCAGGTAGAAATCATTCAGGCATGCGGCGTTTAAATTGGTGAAGTCAATATATATCTTCCACTTCCCATTGACCTTCCGGACCATGATGACATTTGAAAGCCAAGTGGGGTACTGAACCTCTCGGATGTACCTTGTCTCTTGCAGCTTCAACATCTACTCATTAATAGGCCCAACTAGCACGGTGATTGAGTTCCTTGCTTTCTACTTAATCGACCAAACTGGGGAGATTAGACTCAATATGTGGCAGGCAACCTCAACGATTATCTCAGGCATCTCCGTGGTGTACAAGGCAAAGACATTGCAGGTGGTCCCTAAGTGTTTGAATTATATGCTCCGGAATTCTGCATCAAAACTATCATTTATTAAGAAAGCTTTATCGGGTTTGTCCTCATCGACTATGACCTCCTTGGTGGCTTCACTGGTCTTGAGGTTGCCCTCCTTCTAGTTTTGTAAGTCAAGCGGCTCCTGATCCATGCTTTTGACCGCCCGAAGGTAGCAAACTCAGGACCACTCCAAATCTCCCTTGACAGTGATTATTTCACCAACTTCTGGGAACTTGATTGCAACGTGGTAGGTAGACACAACGACTCTGAAGCGGTTTAGCAGTGAGCGACCAAAAATGGCATTATAGGTTTGGGGCAAATACACGATCAGGAAATCTTTTGTCTTAGTGTACTGCTTCTTTGCTTTGCTCTAGGTGATCACCAATGACATTATGTCTAATGCTTCCTTTCATTCCCGTGAAAAACAAAAAAAATAAGCCAGTCTGCGCTACCAACCTGTCGGCTCGGAGACTAAGCTTGTTGAATACTGACTTGAACAAAATGTTCACGGAGCCGCCGATGTCTATAAGGGAACTCTCAACTTGAAAATTACTAATTATCCCCATAACGACTATAGCTTCATTGTAGGGGTTCCAACTTTGGGGAAGATCATCGTTTGTGAACATGATGGACCTCCTCCCCTTTGCATAGATGCGAGGTTGCCCAACTTGTTTGTCCTAATCCTCTTCTAAGAGCTTCATCGAAGGGCAACTGTACCTCTAAGGATAGTTGGGACCACCGTTAATTAGTTATGAAGAATTAAGACCTCATCTAGCCCAAGATGTGAAGAATTAAGTTACCGTTAATTAGTTATGAAGAATTAAGTTACAGTTAAATAAGTTATGAAGAATTAAGACCTTCATTTCCTACCGTTAATTAGGTTATGAAGCCACAACCCTGAGTCTTTCCTCTACACAACCAATTTCTTAGCAAATTACCATAAAAGCTTCAGTACGTTAGATTGCTTACAAACAAGTCAGATCCTAATCTCAGGGCCACCTTTATTCTCGTATATATAAAAATATTTTTAGAAAAGATTAAAATTTACCCAATTTATATGTATTTACATATCTAACACAATACATTTTGCTTTTTACATTTGTACCACCCAAATCTTTCACATCAACTCTAAAATACTATTACTTTAACCTTTAAAAACTGAAATACATCTTTTCAACCATAAATAAAGTGACATATATGTCAAAAAGCAAATTTCGATGCTAGATATGTAAATACATAAGAACTGAGTGGTAAGTAAGTAAATCTTCCTAAAATTTATTAACATCCATAATTTGATTAAAAAAAAAAGAATATAAAATCAAAATTAAGTTGAACTCCACAAACCCTTCAAATTTAAAAATTTCACATAAAAAATAAAATTTTCTAAAACATTTTTTCAACCTACAAACAAGAAAATAAGCCCCAACCCCTATTCTCATGAATTAGCTAAAAAAGAATACAAGACATTGCACACAAACTGAAGATAACTACAAAACAGTAATGGTCCAAAAACACAAGGCTTTACTTACACAAGCTTCTAGATATATTAAACAACTCGTGGAAAACAATAACAGCATTTCAACCTCATCTAGCCCAAGATACTGCTTCAATTTCATCCCTGGCAGATTTGTATAATTCGAGCCTCTTCGCACACTGCACTCTGCGTTCCATCAACGCCGGATCCTCGTCCAACAGCAGCCCAAGCTGCTTACCCTGCAGAGAATATGCACATTGGACCGAATATGAGCATTCATGAACATTGACATATCTTATGTATTTGCATATCTTATATGAGCATTCATGAACATATGGACATAATTCTTATGTATTTACATATCTTATGCCTAAATTTTCATATTTAGGTACATAGCACTTTCATGCTTTAAAATTTTGTATGAGAAGATGTATTTCACTTTTAAAAAGTGCTAATAGTGCAATTTTTTTTATGCGATTTTAAAGATTTGAGGACCGGGTGTGTAAATATGAAAGTTTAGATGTGAAATGTAAATACATAAGAAATGTGTGCTATGAATGTAAATGTCCCAAAAATTTTATATAAATTATTAAAAAAATACATGAAATGTATGAATTTGCATGTGTGGACGCACAAACAAGCATATAGAATCAAGTAATTATTGAGCTGAATAGGATCAATTAAGAACCATGTTTTTTTAACAACCCTAAATACCAGACGAGGAATACCTCTTTCCGCCCGACTTGTGTGTAAAAAAGATTGAGCAAAGATCGCTTAGCTTCTCGGACTTGGCAATGGACTGCAGCCTTTGGGATGGTGAGCCTTAGCGTTTCAGATACCATTGATATATACGAGGATACATTCGAGGCAATCCTCCTGAAATGTCCTTCTGAGTATCGATCCACCGTCGTGTTAGCAGGATTGCCTCCTTTCTCGACTTCCTGCGGGAGGTTGCGGAAGAATTCGACGGTTAAATAAGATGCCTCCATGTCAACCAGACGAGCTACAGTCTTTTTGCCATCTTCCCTGAATCTCTCCAATGATTGATAGGATGCAGCTGCTATTTCAGATTGGAGAGTTGGAAACCTTTTCAGCTCCTGATTGTAAGGCCGCGGGGAAAAGAGTCAGCTAAAGACACACCAACTCGACCCAAACTTAATTTGAAAAATGGAGGTTCCAATAAATTTTGGGGTGGGTTCGAGTTAGAATTTCTAACTCATTATTTAACTTTTCGGGTCATATTCGAGTTGACCACCAACCCAAACTTGACCCGAAAATGACTCTCTAACCCAAAATTAATTCGAAATCGAACCGTTGCCCAAAATTGACCCAAAATTTTACTAAACTGACCCAAATAATTGTTATGACTTGCGTTAAACAGATTAGGTTTGGGTCAACTGGTGGAAAGTGGATCGGGTTCAGGTTGGACATTCTGACCCATTTAAAATTTTAGGTTCGGGTCAAACAGTTTTAGGTCAGGTCAATTTTGGACAAGCCTGAACTCAACACGCAAACCCGATTGACACCCTAAAGAGTGCTATCGCATAGTTTAGGTAGCCTTAAAGCTGGTTATGAAACTCATACCTGAGTCTCACCTATAGATTTCCTCACCAACTCTTTTAAAACCAAATGAACCTGCAATTAAATTTTGAAAAGAAAACATAAAGGTTGAAAAGTTGAAGAGGAAAGTGCAGGGTTGGGATGGCTTACAGCATCCACAGATGCTTCAGCCGGACCTCTGAAGTAGCTAAGAGCTCCTTCGATGAGCCGGCGATAGCCTTGTTCGGGAGCGATCAGATGAGGCTGATACCCATCTGCTTCTGAGACAATTTTCCTAACATTCTGCACGGAGAGATGCCTGTCGAATGGGAGCTTCTTCAAAGCAGTAGGGAGCTGATTGTCAAAAACACCATAGATTCGATCTCCACCTGGACGCCTGCAATAAGTGTGGAGTAGCAAACAAATCTTAATAAACAGAAAGTGAATGGAAGCTAAATATGATGCCAAAATAGACACAAAGAGGCAACATTTTACTAAAAAAGAAAGCCAAGGAAAATGTAAAACTAGTTTATCTTGTTAATCTAGCATCTTCATGAAATATAACTACATTTTGGCGGTCATATTATCATGTTACACAAATATTTGGCATGCAAACAAAGAAATAAGCTTGTTCATATCAGCGGCTTGTTCTTTACCCTCCATCTAGATGCTCTTTGAATATCTTTTCAAAAGCTCGACAGAGTTCCAATATAGTGTATAACTGAGCCTGAAATAGCATTTCAGTCAAATAATTAGAACCAGAAGATACCATGCATACTAAAGTGTCAAAATGGTCCCCGACTCTTTGGAGGGGGTTTACTCTAGTGCCCAAGTCTTTAAAAATGTCAATGTAGTCCCAAAGTTTTTAAAAGTGTAAAAATGGTCCCATACTCTTTGCAGGGGTCATTTTAGTGCCAAAATCTTTAAAAATTTCAACGTGGAAATAGTCTTTTGGGGGACCATTGCAGCCCATATTAAAAGAGTCTTGAGACTAACTTGATATTTTTATAGACTCTGGGACAAAAATGACCTCATATAAATAGTCAAGGGACTAATTTGACACTTCACTAATTAACGTAAATCAAGAAACATTCAACATTCTTTATGTTCTCACCCCTGCATCAACAGCAATAGGCCGACCAAGATGATCCATCTCTGATTCCAGCTCATCAATGGTCTTACTTATCAAAGATGTAATGCTTGGAATTCGAGCTCTGATTACAGACTCTAAATGCTGAAAACATACATTTGCCAAACTGACCATGGCTTATAAAATCCTACAAGAACTAAGAAGATAAAAGTTTTAGATAACAAAACCTTTGAAAGAAGTTTAGCAAGATATTCTGATCCCATTTTACTGGCTAAATGAGAATAATCTGGACTAGTTGCAAAATATTCTCTTTCTTTATGTCTGGCAGCTATCATATCAATATTCTTATTTATATCTGCCTGTGAGCGATTAACAATTCCAACCCAAGGATGTTGCAGTTTGTAAGATCTTCCTTCCAGAACCTGGAGAAAACGTTCAAGGATGAGTAACTTCAGCAAGAAACTGAAGGGATTAAAGGCAACAGTGAGAATACGTGCATGTTTACAAATAATGCTGTATATTAAAGAGGGCGTTTGGGATCACTTTTGTTTTTTTTTCCTATTTTTTTTTTTTTACTTTGTTTTGTCTATGTTTTGATTTGAAACAAAACATGTTTGGCTATTTGATTAAAGTATAATTGTTTTCAAAAACATTCAAACACGTAAAAGTTATTTTGAGTCTTTTCAAAATCTTGTTTTGTTTATAGAAAAAAAAAATAAAACATGTGAAAAACACACTAACCAAACATGTTTTTAAGTAAACAGAAAGAAAAAAAAATCCCAAACAAGCCCTTTACAAGTGAAGGTATAGCTCACATCAAGTGCATTTGTTCCTTTATCCATCAAATCCAGCTTTGTTAATACTCCAAATGTCCTTTCACCTAACAAATTGTAAAAAGGAATAAATAATTTCAATGAATAGAAAAAAACTCTTATCTAGAAATAAAGTTCATGCAAAAGATTTTAGATGCTGGAATTGCAACAAACCTGAAGGATCCACTTCCCTAGCAAGTTTAATAGCATCTGATGTTGCAATATCTTGATTGGCAGGAGAAATTGCCAAAATAATACAGTTGGGCTGCAAAAAACAAATCACGGCTTGAACAATAAGAAGTACACGCCACAACATGAAGAAAAAGCGACTGCTGTAACATCAATTTTTCTATATTTTAAGCCGTGGTAGAGGCATATGCAGCTCCCAGACTAAAGATAAGAAATAAATCAAGGGCATCAAACAACAAGAAAAAATGTCAAGGGCATTAATCAAGCAAATCTGCACAAAATAGCATTCAACATTTTGTTCATAATATTATTTAGAGGACAGAATGCATAATATAAAAATCTTAAAAACTACTAAACGAAACAGATGCTACATTCCATGGTGTCATTCTCAAAGCTAAATACCTTCTCAACATATGTGCGGACCATATTTTCAATATCCTGAACAATACTATCAGGCTGTCCCTCTGTGCAAAGAAACATTATGTCAGTTACAATCCACTCTTGTCAGGCTAGCATACACCTTAAAACAAATATAAGGCGGACTTACATGCATACCACTCAATTCTTATGTATTTGAATATCTAACAGCTAAACTTCAATTTTTACATGTATGCCGCCTTATATATGCATCAAAAGGAGTATTTCACTTTTTAAAAGTTAAAATAGTGGTATTTTTTATTTGATAAGTAAGATCGGGATGATAAAAATGTAAAAACTAAATTTTAGGTGTTATATATGTAAATACATTAGAATTGGATGTATGTAAATGTCCCCCAAATAGAACAAAAACAAACTGCAGCAATAATGACAGTTTTCATCGTAAAGAAAAGAGAAGTTAAATTATAATACCTACAGCAACCTTAGTCAGACCAGGTAGATCAATCAGCGTCAAATTGACAACTGCGAGATGCCACAAAAAAAAAAAAAAAAAAAAAAAAAAGGGGGATTGGGGTCAAAGAAACGTAAAATTCAATTCTCAATGCAACAGATAGCAGAAAACAGAATCAAGTGAAAGTTAGCATGGGAAAATCGAACACAGAGGTCAGAGATTTCAGCTGGCAGAGAAAGTTCCCTAATGTTTTACAAGAAGAAAAAAACAAGTATAAGAATTGCCAAATCATAAGAATGCATATCCTATATTGCTGAGAGTAAAAAAATAAATAGAAGCAAAAAGAAGCATGTTTAATGCTTTAAATTAAGGAAAAAAATAGATTGATGCAAAAGATAAAGTTTAATATATGCCCTGAATTGACATGGTTTAATACCATAATGCCATATAATATGAACATACCAGGAATGGTCCAGTTCTGAAAATTCAATGTACCATCAACATAGAGTGATCGTTGAAAATGTAATATCATAAATTTTAAAGAGGTGATTAGAAAGCCATACCATTAGGGGAAAAAATACTGAGATGGATGGGAACAGGTGAAATTTGTTTAGTTCTCCCGGTTAATCTCTCAGTGTCATCAGAAATTTCCTTGCGCACCAAACCTACAAAAGTATTCGCATTAATATAAAGATGTGCTCACTAATCTCATCAAAGAAAATAATATACACAACTACGATGCATCCAACAAGAATTCAACTTGATCATCCAAGCATATTAATTCCATCCTTAATAATTATTATTCATTTCAAAAACTTTTTAGTTACGCCAAACAAATGGAAGCTCTAGACATGGAAAAATAAATCAATTGCCACAAAAAACATCATATTCATAACTATATGATGTAGAAAGTCCTCAGGTCTATTTTTCAAAAGACCATAATTACACAATCACTCAGTCTTTATTTGATGGAAACCTAAAAATATGAGAAATCCATACCTAACGATCATTTAATGATTGCATAAATAAAAAGACATTGAAAATTTTAAAACCAATAAAAACACAAATCATCTAGAATTCACATTGCAATCAGGAAACCCTTTATAGTCTTTAATATTAAGCTTGAACAAAAATCAACTCGAGGTTAAATGAATTAAACTTGAACACAAATCTTCTCAAAGGTTAAATGAATTAAACTTGAACACAATACAACTTGTTTATTCACGTTCAAAAACTTATTTGTTGTTTATCAGATAGCTTTTTAAAAACTTTAATATTAGGGTCAATGGTAGCTTGTACATTGATCAATTAGTTTTATTTAAATGAATTGTTTAATTATTTATTTGATATTAATATATTATTCATTTATTTATTAACTAGGTTATTTTTTGTCCCATTTATCCATTTTTTACATATCATTCTCACTTATATCACTTTCAATCCCTTTAATTTGGTTGCCCGAGCCCATGAGAGATGCGTCTATGTGACCGCATCACTAGGATTACAATGAGAATCAAAGCCTTCAAAGCTAAAACACATCTTCTCCTTCTTATATTACCTGGTGTCGACATGTCGACTTAGCCTGCGCGCATATTTTCCAACACTTTCCAAGTTCATTGAATAGCTTGCTCATTTAGAAAAATAAAATTAGTTATTAATATAATAATCACACGGGAATTCATTTGATACTTGCTCATTTTTTAACTTGTTTATTAACACATGTAAATATTCGTAAGATTAATTTAAACAAGCCAAACTTGACGCTAGATAATTTTAAAGAAGCGAATAAGAAAAAATATGTGAAATCTTGGCTCGATATCATTCCAAACTTGAACAGCTTATGGTTTAACCAAGCCAAGTACGAGCTCAAAAACCTCTCAAAAAATAATCAGAATAGCCAATTCACAAAAAGCAAAAAAACAACCATTTTCAAACGAAAAAAATGCATCCGCTAAAAAGAAAAAAAGGAAAAAAAATCTAAAAACATTATGTATATAACGCACTGAAATCTGTGAATTTCCTCTTGGGTAAGTGAAGGAACTCGGCGTACTCCGGCTGCCCATCCTCCGTCTTTTGCAGCTGGAGCACCAACGGCCGCCTTGTCACAATCCCTGCATGCAATAGAAGTAAACGAAAGAGTCTATTGCCCTAAACTTTGCTAAAAGAACGTCGAAGCAGATATTCAAAAATGAAAAAATCACACATGCAATGGCAAGTGCCGATCTAACCAGATCCACGGGGAAGAAAATCTCGCCCAACGATGCTCTCCAGGACCGACGATTTTCCCGAGCTCTGCACCACATCCGCGCCAAAATGCACGTCAGTCGACCGTAAAAGGACAAAAATTCTGCAAATAAATCTTAAAAAATCCAATAAAGAGAGAAATAAGACGGACAGACGAGGAAGGGGGTACCTGTCCACCGACGACGGCGACGGATGGAAGAGCTTCCCAGAGAGTAGGCAATGCACTATCAGCGCCACCGTGGTCACCCAGAACAGTGCACGCTCTCTGGATCCTGTTCACCATTCCGATCAAGCTCTCCATGGTCGCCATCTTCGAAACCCTGACCTAATTTCGATCCAAAGGAATAAGAAAAAGGAGGAGGGACAAGGGTTTCTGTGAGAAAGCTCGAACTCGGAGGAAATGACACTCCACCGTGAGTGTCTCCACTCGAATTCTCGTTTTATTAATTCCCATTCTACCCTCACGCACTCAGGATGTTCTTTAGAGCGGGTCCAATCACGACTCACGTGAGCGTATATTACTTTTTATTTTTTTTTTAATAATTGGGTGTATAATATCTGAGTATCGAGAAATTATTGCATGGGGTCCGATCCTAATCGTAGATTACGATGATCAACGATCAGAATATATTTATTTTTTTTAAAAAAAAAATTTAGGTGATGCCCACCGAAATACATTCTGACCGTAAATCACCTAGGATTGAACCATATGAAATAATTTTTCCTCAATATCATCCAAATATTTTCTCATTATCTTTTTCATTCTTACATAATATTTTTTTAGTCTAAAAAATAAATACTTTTATTTTTTTATTTAAAATTTTGAATAATAAATAATTGAATAGTTCTTTTACCTATTTTGATATATTAACTTTAAAATACATACAAAATAATTTTTTTTTTGTGGAAAGTTTGATTTTGCATTAATCATAATAGAGATACTTTAATAAACATGCCTCATGTATTTTTATTTGAGGAATATCTGATACTTGATTTATGTTTAACGTTTTTTAATTGTATATTACGAGAGAAAAGTCTTCGACGACAACTTCTATCTCCACGAGTTGTTTTTTGCTTTGTTGGAATCCCTTTAGAGTTGTAGTAGGAAGAAAAATGAACGAGACATGCTCTATATCTACTTTTAAAAGAGATTTGAATGCTAGGTTAAAACCCTAGGCTCAAAAACAAACATCGAACTATGATATAAGATTCAAATTGAAGATCAGATAAGATTCAAATGTTGTATAGTAAATTTGAATTAAACAATATGTTAAAACCATAATGGTTAGCCATTATAATTTAATTGAGGTTTAAAGAGGAGTTTAAACATTGCTCAAACCTAAAGTTCAACATTTAGATTTGAAATTGAGATTCTCACATAAGTTCCAATGTGAATACTAAGCTTAAACATAAGTTTCAACTGTGTAATTAAGTGCTCGTTTGAGGCAGCTTATAAGTGCGGCGATATTTTGAAAACGCCGCCTCAACGTTTGAGACGTGTTTATGGAAACGATGTTTCCTATTTTACATTATATGTGGACCGTGGGTCTATCCTCGCGATCCGCATTCGACCTCCAAGCTTTTACTCCTCTGCCCTTGCGAAACATTCTCGCATCCCTAACTTCCTCTTTCGTTCGAAGCCGTCTCTCCTGCCTCCTTGACCGAATTCTCTCGACAGGTAAGGATCTCTTCTCCTCCCTCCTCTCCTCCACTTCGACGAAAGCTTTCTTGATTTTGGACAATCCATTTGTTGAAATTTTTGGTGAATGTGGAAGTGTTTAGTGGCTAAAAGCATAGATCTAGTTGTTGGGAGATGAGTATTTCTAGTGGAAATATAGATCCATTTTTTCCCGAAATAGTTGAAGTATCGAGATTGTGATTTCACTGTTTGTTATGGTTCTTGCTCTCCTTCTCTCTCTGTTATCTTTCTGAAATATAGATCCACTGTTTGTTCTCTTCACGTTATAGTGGGAATGTGTTTGATTTGTGAAGAAATGCTTGATCTATGATTTTAACTTATTATTGAAATTTTTAAGAAGCATCGAGAAGGATTTGTTTGCTGTTCAAATGGTCTCCATGTCAGTATCTTGCTAAGGCTATTAAAAATTTGAAACATCTTCCATATTAGAATCTTGTTGAATCTTGGTGAGGTTATTAAAATTTCTGTGGAAATTAAAAATTTGAGACATCTACCAGTTTGAATATTGTTGTACGTCTCATATGGCAAGATCTATAAGCAGTCTTTATCATTTGCAGTTCATACTGTGCAACACCTTATTTTGGGGATTTTGCCGTGATGAATTCTTGCCTAGCAATGCTAGTGATCTTTATTATCCGTGTTACTTGGAATTTCCCAAGAATGTATTGTCTAGTGTACATGAAATTGGGAAATATATACATTTGTGTTGATACGGCTCATATGGAAATTGGAAAATATATACATTTGAAATGTATTTTCTAGTGTACCTGGCAATGTGAGTGAATCTTGCTGTACGTCTCATATGGAAATTGGAAAATATATACATTTTAAATTGGAAATACACTTTAGTTAGAGCTCATATGGAAAAATTTATGTTATGTGATTTGGCATTTGATGCACACCTTTTTTGAAAAGTTGTGTTTGAGTATTCTCATCAAAATGTCCATACGACTTTCATTTTAGGTTCATTTCTTTTTAGAATTCATTGGAGACCATATCCACATGGTTAAACAGTTTTGCAAATTTTGTGTTTGAGTATTTATTTTGAGATCATGAAGAAGAATGGGATATTGTACGGTTTAGAGAATTTAAAAAGTTTGAAAGCTTATTTAAAATCTCATTCTATATATGTTTTTTTCTCTTGAATACTATTAATTTCATGCTAAACATGATTGATCCTGCATTATTGCTTCATTGTCGAATGTTTCATTCATCCGATGTCTAATCAGATGTTAAGCAATGTATTTTAAAGTATGACTAAACATTTACATATGCTTGCTTATATGAGGGTAATGCGGGAGATTTTTTGCTTATATGAGGGTAACTTGACATACATATACATACTGTTTGTTGATATTTGTAAGCATTTATGTTGGCCAATTATTGCTCAAAGGTTTTGTTGTGATATTTGAAAGGGAAGTTGGAGTTGCAAATGCATAACATGATGGATAAGTATGGCTAATAATTGTATATGTATTATATATGTAAATGCATAAGAATTGTGTGGTAATGCATGAAAGGCTAGTTTTTCTGCAAGGTTCAATTAGTATGAGTAAAGGTGGATAAAGGATTTGTGTGGAAAGCTACGATTCTGAAACATTTAGCTGGGCAAGCATTTGTTTATGCTGTTATTCTGTAACAGAGAACATTGAGCTGGGCGGATGAGAATTGAATTTTTTTTTGAGTATTTTACATATGGCTGCTATATATGGCAGCTATATACACTGTTATATGGATATTATTAATATATGGCTGTTTTTAACATATGACTGCTATTTTACATATGTTGGTTCCAGTATTTCAGAGAACATATGGCTGCTATTAACATATGTTGGTTCCAATATTCTACCAGTATTTTACATATGACTGCTATTAACATATGGCTACTATATAATTAGATGTTATATACACTGTTGGTTCCAACATTTCAGAGAACAGTGAGTTGGGCAAGCATTTTACATAGGGCTAATATATGTGGGCTAGCAGCTACTTTCATTTATTTGGTTAGATAGTCAAGCGTTTTTAATGCCTTACTGAAACATTTTACATGAAGTTATTGATGCTATAAGAAGTTCTTTTATAAGAGAAGACCCTTCTAATGACTTTTTTATTATTAATCAGTCATCGATTTTAAATTGATGTGCACTTCATAGTAATTCTTCACAATTGTTTCAGTCATCCGATGTCTAATCAGATGTTAAGTAATGTATTTTAAAGCATGGCTAACCATTTACATTTGCTTGCTTATATGAGGGTAATGTTGGAGACTTTTAGCTTATATGAGGCTAACCTGACAGGCATTTGCATAAGTGTCGGCTGTGAGCATTTATGTTGGTTGTGAGCATTTTGTAGAGATATTGATATGGGATGAAGGGATGATGTAGTTTGGAGAAAGAATGGAGGAATAATGGTACAGTTGGTAGTTTGGTGTGATTGTTTCATAGGGGTTGGTTGGTGAATGGGGAAGGTGTTTTCATCAAACACCAAAAATTTTAAGAAGTTATTTTACAAGAGAAGGCCCTTACTATTACTTCTCTGCAAAGTTCAAACTTAACTTCTATATCTATTGGTGAGAAAGGAAGTTATTGCCAATCATCTTGTTATAACTTCTATGTTCATTGCAATATGCATATAAATTTAGCATTGGGCATTTGAATGTAATGCTTTTTTAAGTGATTTTTTCTTAGAATGCAAAAAAATTCAATTGTTTTCAGCAGTGGGCATATGATCCAAACCTGAATTCTTTTTTTCTTAAGAAAATGTCGTATGAATGTGTGGGTGTCTGTTGGCTGCAATGCAATTTGGTACCTGTCTGCTTGCTGTAAGTTTAGACCTGTCTTTATGAATGTGTTGGGTGTATACTGTTTTATACCTGGAAGTTGAAACATGTTCTTCTTTCCTTCGAATTACCTGCAGTTGTTTTCTATTCACATGCAACTGCTTTTTTTTTGTCGTAATGGCAATCTGCTGCATTATTGAAGAGATCACGAATGACATACGAATTTATGGACCATGCAACATGCTCTTCTTTCCAACCATCCTGGTTGTAATTTGTTTGGTATATGGATTTATGAAGTTGCTTTGCTATTACCTATTTTTGAGTAAATGCAAATATATTTGGATATATAGATTTATGGATCAAATGCCACTATATGGATTTATATAATAGTAAATTTTTTTTACTACTAAATTCTACTGATTTTATTGAGATAACTGTGGAGCAGTTTGGATGATCACAAAAATTTGTTGTCGGCAACCTTTGCCTCCATACTTCGGTAAGTATATTTTTTATATTTCCTCAAATTTTTGACTGATCTATTCTCTTTTTAATAACTGCAGGATGATGAGTTCTAGATACTCAGTGAAGTTCGGGCAAGTGATGTGCCGATGCAGGCCACCATCCTTGTTACTAACGCCACGCCAGCCACATAGCTACGAGAGGCAGTTTTATATGTGCACGCGGTGGGAACAAAGACATGAGGACTACACTTTCTTCAGTTGGGCTGACAGTACGTCTGTTTCTATGTTATCCCAACAGGACACCGCAGTTCAGAGTTTGTCGGTATCACAATTTTAGTACATTGCTTCTGGTTTGAGTGCTTCTATTCTATGATATCTCACTCGGACAGGTTTGCGCAGGGTTATGCAGTGTCAGAGCCGGGTAACATGGGTCGTGATATGCTACTGCATTTTAAAGTCAATATTATAATTTTTTTCCTTGT